AGTCAGCTTTTCATCCTCAGTAGTTTAGCTATTCTAGACACCTATTTCATATTACTATTTAATAGCACATCCATTATACAGACACAACTGAAATTGTACAGTCAACTGTATTCTACTTGCATGAAATTTAAAAGCTGGTAACCAGAAATGTTTAGCATCCGAGCTCCACCTACAGGATGAAAACAAATGTAAAACCAATATTTTTAATTGCCAAACTACAAGAGGACTGTTTACTCTGAAGCCTTCAAATGATCACCTCAAGCCACTGCCATTTTACAAACTTGATGTAGTGCTGATAAATTGGATTACTATTGCAATGACAGCAAACATTTCTTCTATCTGTACACATTCCTTCATGTAAACAGCTGTTCTATATTTTGAAGTTTAGGTTTAAGCTTTCTAATAAAAAACAACAGACCTGTTGAATTTCTCTAACAACTTGCCAGAATAAGTGAGAAATTCTTTTTCCCCAGGTTTCTTAATACAAAATTGAAGTGTGTCCCAAATTATTTTTTAGAACATATACAAAAGGTTCAAATGCACACTGAAATGACTAAAATTAACTTCACCATTTGAGCACTCCAAGTATGATTGCATTTAGAAGTGGTATCGGATGTCAATATCATGAATTTGAGAAGGTGTCCATTGTTTCCATATTGTTTCTCTGAAACAGATGTGCAAACTTCTGACTTCACAAATGGATTTGTATTAAAAGAAACAGAACTGATAAAAATGAATACAGATTTGTAGAAAGTCATGCATGTTAAAAGACAGTACTCTGAAAAAAATATTTTTAGAAGTTCAATTATTCTATTAGCACATTTAAATATCTGATGAGACGAACAATTCTGACAGATATCAGATGTTTCTTGACCCTCTGATATGTTAGTAGACATTACCCTTCAAGCTAAGTATGGTAGATCCAACTTTTTGTTTGATATGTGCATCTCCCACATCTCTGCCTGCTCTGATCAACACACACATGGACTACAGTGGGTAGTGAAATCCCATGAGAATATTATCAATCATCTCCAGTACACTTACAAAAAGTCACTATTCCAGACCACGAAACTTGATAATGTTTATCTTCCTTTATCTCATCAGACCTCAGTGTTAATAATACCTTATTTACAACAAACAATACCTTACCTTTGATTTTCATGCCAAAGGATGCCAGCCAATTATTTAGAAAACAGTAAGTCTAGAAAGTGATGTTACTTGTGGTACTAAGCAGTGTCTCCCAAGGCTATGGCTCCCAACTGCTAAAAACACATCCAATAAAACCCTCTTCTGAGTTAAGATAACCCATTCGGCTATAATACTACTGTTACTGTCCTGAAAGAGCAGAATAACCACAAACATAGCACGTTCACCGTCCACATGCAGAGCCAGCAGCTTATGGAATGCCTACACAAATGCCTCTGAAAATGCGATAAAATGTCATGCAAGCTTGGGCACAGATTATCTCATTCCTACGGGTACGCTCTAGTTTTGTGTTGCCTTCATGCTACAAACTTGCTATTATACCTTAGGCAAATCTGTTTCTAACAGCCGTCCCTGTAAAACCCAACCAACAGTTAAACACATGGACAGGTTGTCGGACAGATAGGTAGGTAGTAAGTACGTACAGAGTCCAATGTCTTTTGCTATTCTAAAGATGTTATTTGGCTGCCGTGTACTTGAAGGTACTTTTTCAGAAAAAGCTTTTCTTGGAGAACTTTTAAATTTCTGAATCCTCACCTCTACTATCCAATATGGCTATCTAACACTAATCTGTATTTGCCCAGTCTCCATGATCAAGAACAGTTCATTGACTCCAAGAAGCTTACATTTATTCTGTATTGGGGAATATTATGGGTAATATCACAAACTATTAGAGTGCAGGATTAATCAATCACTGAAGGCAGAGTACTGAAAACCAGGAATGACTTCTTTCTGCAATCAGGAAACTGCTTCAGCACAATGTTTCTGCAAGATTTGAGACAGAAGGCTACTTCATATATTCTTGTCCTACATACTGACATATAACCATTTTAATTAATACAAATATTCATGTAATTTACCACTGGGATTATGCATTGATCTCAACCGTAGGACTAGTAATCAGATTTTGGGATCCAAGTTATCCATCCTCCTCCTTGATCTCAGTATACTTCCTGTGGCCCAGCTGTCTACAGCAGAGACAGTACAGCCACCAATTTCCAAAGCAGCCACACAGCACAACTTCAAAAGATGGCAGAAAGGAAAAACAGGGGATAGGTTTTTAGAAGATGTCTTGTATATGCCCTCTGAAAAAATACCTTGTTATATCTAGCACAGCCATGAAAACACAGCATTAAATTTCATCTACTGTGATTTAGGTGCTCTTATAGAGAGAAAAGAAGAATGAAAAACAGCAAGCCAATGCTCATGAAATAGAGTTTTATGCTGGTGTACGCAACACTACATGGTTCTACAAAGAGATCAGATTTCTGTATGGTTCCAAAAGAAATGCATTAACATCAGTTTACAGATCTGACCACACAAATCTTGTTGACTACATAAGTTTGCCAAAGTATGAAAGTTAGTTGCCTTGCCTGTAACTAAAAGTAAAATCATATGACAGGAAAAACTAACGCCCATTTGAATTACAGATTTTGTTTACTATATCCTTTTATGTTATTGTGCTGGATTTTTGATGTCCAATAAGCAAATGTCTTGCTTATTTATCTCCAGCTATTAAGTATATTGGGTCTTCTCTTCAGCAAACACAAAATTACGAGGAACTTTGGAAGTAACATCATCTAAGGCTGAAAAAGAACTGACTGGAACCTACTCATATTTGCTCAAATTACAAAGGCTTCTGTACTGTACCTGGTGTGCTTCTCAGATTCAAATCAATACTGGAGAAGATGTAGAAAAGGACACTGAAATTCCTGCTTAAATCCATGAATATTTTAATTTTCTGGAGCTATTATTAAGGTGGCTAATAAGAACTATTTTCTTGGCAATGTTCTCACTGCTCCAAAAAAGGCAGACATACACCAACATCTATAGTTGGTATATTTTAATATGCCAATATTAAAAGATTATCCAAAATAATGCAAGCGTTCCTACCACTCTAAAAGCATGGCCTGCTTCTGAACATATAGGCCACACAGAGTTATAAATACTGCCTCATATGGAATGCTCAAAACTTACTAATCTTTTTTTTTTTTTAAATCTTATCAAATTCTTTCAGTAAAAATAGTCAGATCGATATCCATCAAGTTGCAAGTGTCAGGGTGTGATTTCCCTTTTCTCTTAATGATTAGTTTTGTTTTACCGTTAAGATAATGATCAAATGCCCACCATAGCTGACAACAGCCCCTTCTTCAATAAGATATAGTTGTTTTTATTTTTAGTGGGTATATATAGTCATATAAAACGAGAATAATCTGCAAGGGGTGCAAGTCAGATAAGTGAATTTTGGATTACTGTAAAACAACTGATTTTGTTTCAGTTATTCTTTCTATTTTCCAACCAAAGTTTCAATATGTATTTTATCTCAAAGTGCATTATTATTACACCAAATTTATCTTCATGTGTCTTGACCCAAAGGCTTTACTTCCCAGTTATTAATAGGAATGGTAATTGCTACGGAACTTGTGAAGCATTTTATTGACTACCAGGTATTCTTTTGTTATAAAAAGACTGTCCTGGATTCTTCCATGTTGGCAATATACCTTGGCCATTACATATAAAACCACATCTGCAGTGAGGGTAAACAGGAAAAAGAAAAAAAAAAAAAAAGAAAAAATGGGAAAAAAAAAGAAAACACACACAAAAAAGAAACAAAATTTAAAAAAAGATGAAAAAAAGAGAAGAGGAGGAATGGTTCAGTTCAGAGGAAACTGTTGTGGGAGAGAACCTAAGACAGCCGCTACAGACACAAAATTTAGTATAGGCAAAGCCTGAATAATTTCATCACGCAGTTATTTATGACAACTGTGCAGAGTTAGAGTACAACATCTAAATTACCTTTTTGATGCTTCCTCCTCCTACCCCCAAGTAAGTTTCACTGAATAAGTAAATTTACACATTGAATTTTATAAGTGCAAAGACTTAATTGTTCGGTAAGTTCTGGAGCCCATGTTTACTGAAATACTGGACAATAATTCCTCGTAAGCTTGCCATCACTACACATCACTTGCATACGTGACGAATGTTTTTATGCAATATAAATATTAGGCAGAAATTCCCAAACCAACTCTGGAAGAAAGACTGCCAAGACACAAGGTTACAAGAAAACAGATTAACTCACTGAGAATTGAGTGCTAATCAGTACAGATGTTCACAAAGGCTGGCACAGCTATATTACCTGACTGGAACCCATGCTTTCATGTCTGTAAAGAGCTGAATACTGCTACAGAAACAATAATTTGTCTAGAGCTAGTTTAATAATTTGAATACAGTGTTACACTACTAAACACAGACTTATTCCAACTCTCTAAAAACAGCACTAGATAGTATTTAAAAACTGATGTATCAATTGCAGTATTGAAAAACTGGTACACTGTAAGAATACCTACTGTGTTAAATCAGACTTTAATGGGTGACTAAGAAGCATTTCCTTTCGGTAAAGTCTCAGTGGTGGATGACCACCATGTGTTATCACAGATAAAGCAGCTACAAAACTCAATCTTACAACTGTGTAGAAAGACAAAGTAAAGCATGACAAATACACACAAATACTCTTCATTTGTAATGCAAGGGAAAAATAAAACTCCCATACAAGGTATCAATAAGTGCTCAGCATAACAAAATGTAACTTAACTGTTTGGCTCAAACTGCCAAATGAAACTAAGAAATGAGAACGCAATAGGCAATTTCGTCTTCCACAGCTGGAGGTGGGCAGGAGGGAATAATTTTAATGTAATACTAACCTATCAATGTAGTAACTGCAAAACTGGAATTGAGCAGAAAATCTAACTGTAAACAAGACGAAGGGAAAAAAAAAAACAAACCAGCATGATACTTACCTGCGACTAGTTGTTTTCTTTTCTGTCTTAGTTTCTTCCTCTTGAAGTTGCTGTTTAGCATTTTCACTTGTATCGATTTTCAACTTCTTGGCAATGCGTTCTTTTATTTGAAATCTCTCATTGCTAGCAGCTTCATCTTCTACGCTATCAGCATCTTCATCATGTTCTTCTTCCTCCTTTATTGATTTAAAATGATAAAACTTTAGTTTTGTTTTTTTGTAACTACAGAATGTTGAATATGTAAAGTTTTTCTTACAAAGATAATTCCTTACAAAAAAAAACCCAAAACTTCATTTCAAAACAAACTTTTCAAACAGGTATCTCCTTATTTGCTTCAGAGGGAATAACACATTAGAAATATGATAATTAAATATTTTTTCATACACAAATTACATCTTTTTTTGTATGGCTTTAAAAACTAAAACAGTCCATTCTAGACTGTAAATGCTTACAGGTCTGCAGAAGACCTCATAGCAATGTGATATTAGTCTGGTCATTGCTCATGAATCCAAAATTTGATCAAGGCAATACATTAAATATTTCCTTCATTTTCCACTAAAAGAAAACCAAAACTTTTTCAGAACTTCCTGCCACAGGGCTACATTACAGTCATGATGGGATGGAAGAGGTTTGTCCATTAGTCTCCCTGAGAGAATTCACAAATTCCACATTGATCAAAAGAGGCTGTAGAATCAATCATCCCAACTTGCTATAGAGGTACTATGCTTCCAGGCCTAGCAGAGGAAGGCAAAAGGGCATAAACTACCTTGGTTCAAAGACATTTGGAAGAATAAATAAGTCATTCCTCTCAGTAATGAAGAAGCAGCCTGACTAGACCAAAGGATCTAAGTTTGACTACTTCCTTGAAGAAGGAAGCTTGTATGAATCTTAATGGAAGGATGCCAGTTCAAAGACTAGATGGCACATCTTTTTATATTTATTTTGTAGTGATGCTAATTAGCTGAAGAAAAAGCATAAGTTGCTATGTGATTGCAATTTTAACCACACAGAGAGAAAGGACAGACTTAGAAATGGTATTCCAGAGGACTGTACTGTATCCAGGAGACTACCACAATGTCAGCACTTGGAGAGGAACACTCTAAACACAGTGTACATGTCTTGGGTGTGTCTGACAGGTAAGAGGAAGAACAGCGTGAAGACCATGTCCATAAACACGAAGGAGGAGAGGGGAGAAAAATAAAAGCAGCAAGAGGTACAATTTTGGGAATAGAAGAGAAAAACGAAGAGCTCGATTTCAGATGTTGTATCTGAGGCACTGTTTAGGAATCTTCAGACTACCATGCTTAGATTTTAGATTTAGACAAGAGAAGACCAGTCAGGAATAAAAAAATGAATCTGTGAATATTCAGCACAGTAAAATAGCTCAGTATTTTGCCAATGAAATAACTGAAAGGTTGTTGTGGGGGTTTTGTCTGTTCTTTTTACATAGGGGAAAGAGAAAAGTGGAACAGGATCAGAATTTCATTTATTGTTTGACAGAGATAATGAACTTTCCAAAGGATTTGCTTACTTGATAAATTACCAGGGGGAAGGGATGACAACAGACCTCAATGGCAGGGGGCAGAATCCAGAAAATGAACATGACAGGACTGTGTTCAAGGTGTTTAACAGTTAAGGATAAAGACTCCTGGTGGAGATTTGGCTACAGCAAGAGCATTTCACTGAAACATGAAGAGTTGCATAGGAGAATTTCTAGAATAAAAATGGACAACTCTAGACAAATTGCAATTGCTAAGTAGTAAGCTAATTAAAAATTCCAGAAATCTGAGTAACAGAAAGGGGGTTTCATGAATGGTATTTTAAAATGGGAGAGGCAAAACGCTTCAACTTATTCAACTCAGCCGAATCACCTACTTCCCAAACCTTCCATTCCCCTCACTCTGCATAGGATTTCACCAATTTTCTTCTAGAAAAACACTGACAAAATAGGATATAACCTTCCTTCCTGCAACTCTACTCTTCTCCTGCCCAGTCTCCTCCTTCAGTCCCTCTTCTGTCTCATTAACTCCATCTCATCTCATATCTTTTCGACACTCATTTTTCTGAATTCTCATTACCAACTAACAGATTTAACACATTTCCACCCAAAGTGGGCTACATGACAACTCAGGAGGGAAGTGGCTGTTCAGTTGGATGATGGTGTTCCCCTAGTGACACAGAAATGCAAAACTGCCTCCCTGGAAGCTGTACTAGTTTTTGCTGCTCTTGTTAGCTGGGTGGAGTTGCCCTATTCTTCTCTTCGTTCTGGAAATAAAAATGTAATGAGAGATTTTGTGTCAGAACGACTAATGGCTACTGTATGTAATACGATTTAGCCGTTTGAGAAGACTACTGAATTGGAGGGTGGTTATCAAGCTTTATCTGTCCATAGTACTACACAAAACTTACTGTTCAGTAACTAACTGACAAATAGGGAGATGAAAACAAGTTGTGCAGAAAGGGGAAACGGAGGAATGTCACTGTTGGGAAAAAAAAATTTCAGTCTTGTGAACACATTTCATATAATGTTTTCATTAATTAGGCACAAAAAGAGGTTTAACAAATAGCAATGAGGTACTGTTAATACAAAGGATCCGACTCTCAAAGCATGAAATGTATGACCTTGAGGACTGCAGTAAGAGAAACAGGATGATATTTTAATAGCATGAACAGCAAGGTCAGGCGCTTAGGGAATAATAACAAGAGTTCCTCTTACACGCTAGGGACTTGTTATTTGGGGGAGGTAGGGAGATCTGGAAGAATTATTTGCTCATAGGATGGCTATAAAACTACGAACACATTGCAGCCACGTAACTGCGAAAGTGATCCCGTGATGTGTTAACTGAAATAAATTCAAGAGAGATGATAAAATACTAGTACATTTTACAAGGCTCAGGTAACTGCCTGAAATGCTACATTGTAGCTAAGATCTTTCAGTGAAATGAAATCTAAGGAGAGCACCTGCAGGAAAAAAAAAAAAATAAGCCTTCTTATTTCCTACTTCATTACATTATTATAACAGCATAAATAAAAATTTAAATAAATACACTAAACATGTTCCTGTTCTATATTCCTGAATACAGTTCACTTAAAGGGCTATTTGAACATCTGAAGAATTATTAATTAGATACCATTCCCAGAACCCTTCTAACACTGTAATGCT